GAAGCTTCAGGGTTCGAGTCCCTTTGAGAAAACGTTTTCGGGGTTAAAGTCCCTTTGAGAAAAGCCTCGGGGTTGAAGTCCCTTTGAGAAGAAGCTTCAGGGTTAAAGTCCCTTTGAGAGAAACCATGGTGTAAAAATAAAAAATAAATAAAAAGGGAGGAAAAACGAGTGCAGAGACCTTTGTTGCAAAAGTCTTGAAATTGGCCAATTTCAAGTTTAATGAGTGACAAAAGTTGAAGCAATAACATCTGTTATATTTCAGTGATCACGGTTTAAATTACATACAGAAAAAGGGAGTTTTTGTTTTTGGAGTGAACAGAGTTCACCGGAGAATGCAGAGTTTTATCTAAAGTTGAGCTATGAGAGCTTTCGTGAGTTATTTACATTTTTTGCCGAGTTATATCTACAGTTAAGCTATGAGAGGGTTGTATCCAACAGGTTGTTTTTGTTTTTTAGAAAGAGATTTTGAGTTTAAACTAGTTTGCTACCTCGATAAAATAGAAGCGTACGTTAAAGTAAGAGTGCCTTTTGTTACTAGTGTGGAAAGTGATCACTTCTAGACTTGGATGACAAAAGTATAAAGAACATCAGTTATATTCGCTTAACAAAGTAATCTTGAAAGTTATTCTTCTTTCTGTTTTTGCATTTTTGCTAAAACACTACTTTCTGCTTGTGTGTGTGCGCCGCTCTATCTTTGCTGCTCTGGCTCTGAATCAGAGCAAAGCTACTGCTTTTAGGATTTTGGCTTTTATTAAGTTTTTAAATTTGCGAAATTTGCCATTTGAACATTGTGTTATGACACAGTTAAACGTTTTTAAACACCATTAGTGAATAAGTTTTGAATATTATGTTTTTTGAAACCCAAATATTAGTGCTAAAGCTTTGCTTTTCTTTTTAAATCTGCTGCTTATTTGTGAGTCCATTATTGTATCTCTGATATATTTCATAGCTGTTTGTGAGAATTTTTTTATGTTTTTATTTTAGTTACAAAAGCCATTTTTCAAACATTTAAATTAGAATCTGTGTTAAAAGTGATTATTGATTATAGACTTCGTCTAAAAAGAAAGAGGGAATTAGGCTGTAAAAGTATTATATTATTAAGTTAAACTACCCAATTCACATGCAAGTGGCGACTTTTTTTGTTTTTGTTTTGACTACACCGCCTGACCTTGCTCCTGCTGATGCCACAGCAGAGGAGCCTGGTCTGAAATGTGCAAGATAATTAAACACAGTACAAAAGTACACATATTTTAAAGTTTAAAGGTTTTTTAGATTTGAGTCTTGTTTTTTATATTAAGAGTTTCTGGTCTTAAAAATGTCATCATTAGTAAGATAATAAGTAATCTTTTATTTACATAGCGCTTGGGAAAACCCAGAGCGCTCCAAAATTGTTTTGACTTTAGGGAGAAAAACAATCTCATTCACATATCTGTTGTTTTTAAATTGGCCGTCTCAAGGATTGTTTTTCAGACTCTGCCTCACTGTACGAGAGGTCACTGCTGGACACTGGACAGCGCAACGCCCACCCAGCCACAGGTCACAGATCAAAGAGCAAAGGGAAATGCCACCTCCTTGCCCCTCCCCACGCCACTGCAGAGCTGAGTGGGTGTGAGAGAGACCGGGGCCATAAAAGAGAGGTATCTGGAGACGTGATGGGTGGAGCGTCAGGTAGAGACCTAGAGGCAGTTGAAAGTGTGTCCAGTTGGTTTGCATCACCACAGTGTGACCTTTGACACCTGCAGGTGGTTCGAGGAGTCTGGAGACACAACCCCAAAATTCACATACACACACACACACACATACACACACATACACTCACACATTCACATTTACATATAGATACATGAAAAAGCAGAACATGAGAAAAAAGCATTTTAAAAGTTTACTCCAACGTGAACAAATATTTTTAATTGTCTATCACTTGAATCAGTATTTTTTGAGACCAGAAATGTTCATTTGAATTCTATATTGTCATGGACATAATTGACCTCTGTCCTGACACTTTTGATTTGTTGATTTTGTACTGTGTGAAGTAATTACATTGATTAGAATTAGATCTGATAAAAACACAAATTAGAGAAGTAAACTGAATCATTGCGCTTGCTTTTTGTCTGAGGGACATTAGCAACAGCATGAATAGAAATTGTGTTAAAGTAGAATCAAAGTGATTTAACCATAGAGAGTAACTACTGCATTACAAGCTGTGTACAGGAACTGTGACACTGCACCATTGACCAGAAGTGCATCGCAAATGACCTGATGTGCTTCAAGTGAAAAGACTGTATCTGGAGATCCTGATGTGCATCTGGAGAGACCAAAACCATGGCTTGGACCCTACTGATGACCAAGATGACATCTCTCGAAATATAACCTGACCTGATGACGACTGAGACTCACCCTCAGGGGACCCTGAGGATCTGAGGACCTGAGGACCCTGAGGACCTGGGGATCTGAGGATCTGAGGATCTGAGGATCTGAGGACCTGAGAGAGAAAACTGGGGAGTGATGTTTATATTATTGAAATCATACATTGATGAGTGCTAAATGAGAGAGATACTCATGATTCTTTCTTTTGTTTTTGTTTGTCCCTAGCTTCTGGACATCTGATGATCTATTGGACACAGCCATTTGCAGAACAAGAACCAGCCAATGAAAATCGTCTATTGCCGATGCTATTGCTACAACCAGAAACTGTGAACAAATGCAATATACATGTTAAGTATTCAGACATCTGACAGACAAAAACTTTGAAAATGATAAAGTATAAGTATTGTAGCGTTTTAGTAGATGTTAAATAGTAGTAAAAGAGTAGAATTTGACTTCCTTTGTTTTTCATAAACACATTTCCACATAAGAGTTAAAATAGTACCCTACAATGTTATCCTTTTGATAGATCAGCTATAATATTAGAATCAGAGTATTTTAGAGATATTAAAAGTGACAGAAGTCACAAATTAGGAATATGCTTTGCTCAAACTGCAGCCAAACTTTGGAGTCACAATAGTGTAAAAATAGAGATAGATAAATGCATTAACCACAGATGCTTTCAAAAATAGAGATTATATGTAGCCAGTGCTAATATCAAATGGTAAAGGGACCATTTTACAAGCATTTACTTCAGAAGTAGATAAAGTTACTTACAGTTTTATGTACAGTTTTATTAGATACCTTCCAAATTCACTTGTGTTCAAACATGAGTGAATGTTGACAATGCAAAAGTCCATATGAGTGTAGTCTAGATTAATGCCTAGATTAATGAGATAGATTACAACCAACAGAGATTCAAAAGCATTTTGATGTATTTGTGTATAGCACAAAAACACAATAGTAGATATATAGATATTGAGAAGTTTCCAGCACAAACACCATTGTAGAATAACTGACCCCAACCCCAAACCTGCTCAAATAGATTAGCTCTTGTAAGGATAGTTCCAATTTGATTAAAGATGTACATTCATTCCAAACTGATAATGAGAGTATAATACCACAGAGAGATGTATTAGATTAAAATGTATGTTTAAGAATATGGCTCAATAGAAGCAAATATGCAAACATATTTGTAAATAGATTAGAATAGTTTTAAACTATAGTGAATAGTAAAAGTAAAGTACACAGTCTAAGATTAAAAAGTGAAAATAATACAGTGAAATAAGTGAAGTGTAGTGTAAACAATTAGCATTAGAATAAAAGTATAGAGTAATAAAAGTGAAATTAGCTTCTAATTTGAGACTCAGCTCGTTTTTGTCTGTGTTTTGACTGAATCTGCTGAGTTCTTGTGTGTCCAATAGTGTTTGTTTGTTTTTATTTTTGATTTATTTTTGTTTGTTTATTTTTTCCCAGGATAGAGGATAAAATCCACTGATATTGATTGGATGATTATGAGTTTAATGCATACATTTTCTTTGTTTTTTAATAATTTTGTAAAGTTTTTTTTTTTTTTTTTTTTTTTTGGTGTGCCAAACTCTGGAAGTTTATTTAAGTTTCTCTCAAGTTCCACTGGTTTACTTTGTTTCTTTCTCTCAGACAGAATAAAGGCAGTACACAGTTTATATAGTCATTGTCACGTCACACATGGAAAGACATACGTGTCACAAAGAGACAGTCACATCATAGTCATAACATGGAGTCCTTGTAGAGTCCTTGTACAGTCCTGCACGTAGGCCATATTGCTATCTAATACTAATAGATACATTAACCAGTGGATGAGAACGTCTTCAAAACCCATTAAGTGCAGCAAAGATAAGACAAAAGGACGTCTATGGAGATGTCAGTGTCTGAATGGAAAGATATGCCTTCACACGGTACAATACTTACCACGTGTTGAGTCAGGGTCAACTGATTATGAATGATAGAACTCTACTAGACACAAAAATGTATTACTGCTTCACTAACCCTAATCCTAACACCAACCCACTGCTGCCTACTTACTGTGTGTGCCTGAAAAAAGCACTGTCCAATTTATTTAGCTGAGGTTGCCATATTTCAGATAAAATTAACTTTAATAGCAGTACACTTCATTTGGATAAAATCACAAATACAAGTCAGCGTCTGTTTCCTTGGACATCTATCCAAATCTGTTGCCACACTGCATCCAGTCTGCGCAGTGGAAGTCAGTTATTGTGTCTCAGACTTTCAAATAAATAACTATGTAAAGGTCCCCAGCATTAAATCAGTCTTTTTATCTGTATCCCTTCCATTTCTCTCGCTCAATCGGTCCCTTTCTCTGCCAATTTTGCCAAAGTAAACACAAAAAAAACACAGAACATTAAAGTGGCTTCACAAACAAGCTATATTTGTAAATAACATGTTCTATGATTTGTATAATCCTGCATGTGAACAACTTAAATCAGGCATTTGTACCCCCAAGGTATATAATACAAAATGCAAAGAAAACAACATCTTAAGGATTTGTGCCATTTTCTTCCCACATATCGCCTAACATCTGCTGTTATTTACCAAGTGACTTATTTCTTTGAGTTTTCTTAAACCCACTTAGCTTATCAACAGCTTGCATCCCGCTGAACACCCCAGCACTCGTCTGGCTTCAAAAAACAGGATAAAATCAAATTACTAGTCACTTAAAGATTTCCACTGCCTCCAACTTGCTGTTTATATTTGAGGAAACGTTTTGTTATAGACAAACCCTCCAGGCACTGGCAGCAAATAAGTCCTTTCCTTAGAAAATAAAAACTTCCACATTTAATCAAAGAAGCTTTATACAAATGTAAGGAATAAAGCAATATGCAAGTAAACACATTGGTCAATCACTTATTGCAATGCATTTTGAGATCAGACTGCTTGGTGGGTCCACAAAATACATAGCCCTGACAAAACTAAACTATTGCCACCAATAAAGAGTCAATCATTCATTCTTATATTTCAATCTGGAGAGACTCGAACAGGCAAAACATGGTATTAGAATTGTATGTTGGTTGGCAGGTAATCTGACACTGCATGAATTACACATAAAGACACTAAAAACAATATTTTCAAGATTACATGTATTGTGCTGAACAGAATGTGGTTGGGATTTGGCGCTTAGACCCCGGCAGAGCACTGCACGATTGCAGAAGGGGAAAGAGATTATGAGATGAAATCCCCGGGGCCTAGACCCTGGTGGTGGTAGCTAGGAGAAGGATGAAGGAGGTGGCCTGGAACAAGGTGGAGATGGGGAGGAGGAGGGTTGCGACGTGAATGAAGCTGCTGCTTGGATGGAGCTTCTGCGTGATATGAAGCTGATGCGGGCAGTGCCTGATTGCTGCAGGTGAGGATTTGTGTGAGGCGCTGTGCAGCTGAGTGTGATATCTAAATACATGGGGATACGCATTATCCCTGATTACTTTATGTCCTATTTTGTCCAATATGACTTGGATAATGATGAGTAATCATGATATAAAAGTAAATCAATGATGTATTTGTTTAGAGAATAAAGATGTATAATGATTAGTTAGTGGAAAGTTGCAATTTAGACCGAATCCCCGCTCGGCTCTTCAAAGACACTCCCCCCTTAATAATAGAGATCTTAAATAGGAAAAACACTTCTGTAGAGTGGCTATTTTCCACAAGCCTTCAAAACCGCAGTAATTAGACCCCCTTCTGAAAAAAACGATCCAGATTTGATAGCAGATTACAGACTAATTTCAAATCTTTTTTATGGACAGCGGAATGTGCTTTTGATATTTACTTGTCGAAACCTGCTTCATAATTAGAAAGTCTTAGGTTTTAAGGGCGCCACATAGAAGTCACAGAGGAACTTATCTTGAAACTGATAAATATCCTTCCCAAAAACATGCTATAAATTTGTGTTTGTATTAATTCCTCTCCCTGCTCCAAGTCGAGTGAAGAGACAGTGGTCAGAGAGGCGGGGTTTGGACTCAGAGATACACTAACAGACAGGTGAAGACAAAGGCTGTTGTTCTGACCTGGTAGGAGTCGATGGCCTCTCGGTCCAGTGAGCGGCTGACTGACACGTCTCCTGTGTGAATGTCAATAGTGAAGAGACCTCTGGGATCACGGTCAGCTCCTGGTCCAGTTAGCTGAAAGATGTGGCTGCCTGACCGCTCCATGGAAATAACCTGCGCACAAATGTAGTGACAGTTAATGATAGAGTGCTTTGTATTCTTGTGTTGCTGTGACCAGGTTGTATGACCAAAAACATGTTGGATTTGTCTGAACTAAAACTGATTCATTAAATTTGACTCTGATCAGCCCTGTTAATTTATATTATGCAACACTAAACTATAAAAGCATGTAAAAATGTGTGAATCCGTTTTGCTCTAATATATTTTACTCGGACTTAGACTCAGACCAGTCTTATCATTCAACTATCGTCTCCATGTTTTTGTAGATGACTCTTTCACTAGGCAATATTTATTTTCTAAATATGACAGGAGGTAATTAAACACTGCTCTCTTTCAAAGTTAGCTTTTAGAGATGATATCCAGATAGATGCTCATTGGTTTGTTACTGACAACAATCAGCTGATCCATCAGTAGAGCCAAACTAGTTCAAGAATGTGTTTCAGCACTTTAGTACAACTGTTTATGTTGTGATGATATTCTTGGTATAGTTCTATTTCTGAAGAGTTTGTTTAGGAGCTGCTTTCATTGCCACGCAATACTGTGTAATAAATATATTTAGTATTTTAAGATAAATAACATATTATTAACGGTAATAGAATTATTGATAACATACCATTGGCATCATTGGTTAAATATGAATGCATTAATAAGAGGCCCCACATAGATATAGATAGATAGAGAAATTCAGGTGTATTGCAATCAGTAAATTGCATTCAGTTTAAATCATGGATAATGTGTAAGATGGCTGTATCTTGTCTTAAACATCTACTTACATGTGACTGGATCCCACATCAACAGGTGTCCCAGAAGCAGGGAGAGAAAAAAAGAGAACACAATTAGGAGGAAAAAAAATACAAAAGATTAGATAATTGTCAATCACTATGGCAACAGTCGTCATGTTTTATCACTCTGAAACCTATTGGTATAAGGATTGACACTAACAGAACAACATTGAAAACAAGCAGCCAAGCCATGTTTTATCACATAGATATCTATTAAGTCTGCTCCTGCTCCTGCTCCTGCTTCTGCTTCTGCAAATCAAAATTGCTGGGCCCTGTTAACAGCAATGACATAATGGCATGAGGTCACCTCTAATGAGAGACACCTTTGTGGGGAAGGCAACACTAATGCCTCTTATTCTTCTCTGACTTCACAAAGCATCAGAGATGAGGTCTCAGCACCACGGACAGCTCTGTGCCTCTCATTCCCGCTTCAGTGTTATTAGACTTGTGTATATCTAATTATGGCTCGTCATGTCAGACTTGGCTTATCATGTCTCAGTTCCTTATTTTTGCCATCCCTCTTTTTAGGCTTGATTTTAATTAAAATCAGAAGCTTTTGAAGTGGCACTGGATAGAAGTGGAAGTGTTAACATTAAAATGGATTTTTTAAATATATTTCCAAATGTTCGTGTTTTTGACTAAAACAAAGAATGAAATGGCACAAACATGCAGCTGAAGCGGAGGTTAAGGATGGTAGACTACCTACGTTATCACACCAGGCTTGACCACGCCTTACTCAGCCTGTCTTAATCAACTCCCCGCAGCTGTGTCAATCAAGCCAGCGTTTAAGAGAACAGCAGAGCACAGCTCACCAAACGGACTTCAAGCTGCAACCACCTCCTCCCCACCTCCGCCTCAGGATTTCTTCACTCACATTCACCTTGCCTTGTTGCCACCACCAGTGTCTAGGCCCCGGGGGATCATGATCTGCACCCAGGCGCAGATCTCTTCAGAGCACGGCCACAGCCGGGGCCTAAGCTCCAAACCAATAAACAAACTCAATCTATAAAATAAACAACTCTTAAACGCATCTCGTCTCTTGTAGTCTCTCCAGGTTGAACTCCGATTATACACACTCCACTCTGAACTCCCCTATTGAATCATATGAAATTTCATTCATGGAAATCTACAGACAATAATATCAGGTAAACCATAGTGATTTGGGTAATGCTTTGGGCCATCTAACTTCATAGTCTATATATATATATATATATATATATATATTAAATGCAAATGTAAATACAAAGGAATGCACAAAGGATCGGCCACTCTCCCATTTTAAGGTGTGTGTGCGAAGGCTTGAAAAGGTGTCGACAAACATGCCACACAAGCAAAACTAGAATGGCAAATGTGCAACTCTGAATGCACATTTTGATGAAAAATGTAAGAGTTTTACACGCTTTCTGAGTAGCATTATGTCTGCTCCAATACTCGTGTGACTGAGATTTAAACTGGGTTATGACAAACAAAACCAAGGTAGAGCTCACAGATGGCTCAGCATCAAACTTGCATGGACACAAGAGGAAGTGGTGCTGGATGGTGGGCAGCTTCAGGGGTTGCTAGAGGATTAAGAGTGAGAAAAGAGTGGGAAGCTTATGAAGACAACACTTCTTTTCACTGGTTAAGTGTCTGGAGAAATTTAGTTTGATTCGTTGTCTCTGTGGAGTAGTAGACCTTCACACTTCTACTTGCGATGGTGAATCCGCTCTGTGCCTGTGTACAAATGTGGGAGGACGGAGGGAAGAGTTTCACCTCTTTCTATCAGCTCTCATTATCAGCAGAGTCTAACATGAAAGGCTGGGGGCTGGTGAGGGTGCAGAGATGACAGGTTGGTGCAGTGCTGCTGAGGAAACACCTACAGTGTCAGAGCTACACAATCAGCACCTGCACCTGCCAAAGATACCACGCCCAATTGGTTCACATGTCTATAAGAGAAGGAGCTATCACTTTGCATTTAGTTTTATATTTAACAAGGTAGAAACACACAAAGGAGAAAACGTGGTGTGTTAACAACATGTAATAGAACTATTGTAGTGTTAATGAACTGCACATTATTAAGTGGAGGTTCAAATTGGTAGACTGTAAACGTCATCGAACCGGGCCCACACCTTCCTAAGCCTCAACTCCCAAACAGCCTTTTCAAGCCACAACCACCTCCTCCTCACCTCTGCCTCAAGATTTCTTTGCATGCTCATATCCACCTTGCCCTGTTGCCACCACCAGTGTCTAGGCCCCGGGGGGATCATGATCTGCACTCAAGCCCAGATCCTCACAAAGCAAGGCCACAGGCAATGCTATATTTTCTTTAAATCACATCTCACTGGCCCAATTAAAGACAGAAATTACCTTGTTATTATTTCATATCAATTATATATTTTATTCATGAGGACCCTGTTTAAAATAATATAAATCATAACCAAACTCCTGATGATTGAAAATGTATGATCCCACAAAGCAGAAGAGATTTATTCTATACAAAGACATACTGTATTCATACTCGGCTGGTATACGGTTAAGATTGCAGATTAATGTGATCACATGTTGCAAATTTTTGACAGCACACTTTTGGCTTGTCGCTCCAAATTGTATGTTTTTTCCACCGTCTCGCCTCTGTGGTGCTTCTGTTATCCCCACCAAGGTTACAGAGCCAGCTGCGATCCACAGTCACTGGCCATGAAAACAGCTATGGGGACGAGCCAGAGCTTTGGGAGTGGAAGAGATCAATGATAGTCCCTTTGTGACTGTGTGCACCTGTGTCCAAGAGTGTGCCTGGACTTGACCAGTGCATGTCCGGCTTCTGCTGCTACTCTGAGCCTGTTAATGGACGAGAAAGGACAAGTGGAACAAGCTGGGCCAGACACCATGGGATGTGAAGTGTCCCCGCAGACTGCTCACCTCCAGCCGGCACTAAAACAATGGTGCTAATTAACGAGTTCTGATTAGTTAGGCAAGTCTCCAGTGCCAAGAGCATAATTCAGAGCCATTCAAATATTGCAGTTAACTGAAACCAGCAGTTAACAAAACAGCTAACTATAAATCTAAGACTATGGAAATTTCTATTGTTATTAGTGCAACTTAAGATTTCAAAATGTATAAACCTGATTCTGATGTTGTACCATCTTTAGGCAAGTGCAGGCTGGGTATTGAAACGGAAAAGTGTGGAGAAAATATTACTGGTGGCATAACAGCTGGGATGAAAAAATGCAAATTCAAAAATCAGATTGATTAACCAATCGGCAATATTTAGATTAATTCCATCATCAAATCATGCCCCTTGAAATCTAAATGCAAGTGGAAATTCCCTTATACCCAAACTAGTTAGTTTAGTTTTAAAACAATAAAGAAAAAACGAAACTGAAGTTTTCCAGACAGAGACCCTGGTGTAAACTTGGAGAGCGTCTGTGGTTATGATTCTGCCGCTTGAGACACAGTGGTTTGGGGAGAGAGCAGAGATCAGAGGCACAGAAAGAGCAGTGCCATCCTGTGCTTTAGCTACGCTTTGAAGCTCCTTCAGCAGCTTCTCTACAGGTGACATGCTGCTGAGAGGAGGTCTGGGGGTCACCACTCGGGGGAACATGGACCGTCTGGATCTGTCTTGTCACCACCACCAGGACTCCACAGACTATAGGTTTTTTTGCCCGACTCCACAAGTGTTAGGAGACACGGCCAGAGTAAGGATTGTTTGTGAGGTTTTATTGCAACTATTCTTATGAGACGGACCCGTTCAAGGTTCAAGCACCGAACTTTGGGGGACCGAGCTTTCGCCCATCTCCTTTCCCACTCTCTGGAACTCTGTCCCCTCTTATCTCAGAAACTCAGTCTCACTAAAATCCTTCAAAAAATATCTAAAAACTCACCTCTTCCTCCAAGCATATGACTCTTGTTTTAACTTTATACTCTTCTTTCCTGCTTTCAGATTTTTAGTTTTGTGAGTCTGTCTAAACGTGTTTGTGTGTGTGTGTCCTGAATTGTGAAGCATCTTTGAGTTTTTGAAAAGCGCTATATAAAACCTAACAACTACGACAACATCTCCACATCCTCACACACACACACACCTGAAGCAGCCCCTCCCCATATCCTTTCACACACACATATCTGATGCAGCCCCTGACTACGTCCTCACATGCACACACACACACCTGATGCAACCCCTCCCCATATCTTCACACACACACACACACGCACACACCTGATGCAGCCCTTCACCACATCTTCACGCCTCAGAAATGAAGAAAATAATATTAAATCCAGACAGAGCGCGATCCATAACCTTAATTCCAGAACGCTGTGCCTTCTGCTTACTAAAGTTCACTTGCAGTAGTTTTGTGTCTACATTAAACAGTCCATGGACGACAGCTGCTGTTCCCACACAATGTCTGCTGTTCTACCAAGTGACATGTGTAGGCTGCCAAGTTCTTCCACCGGCATTATTTGTACCACTGATATTACTGTTGATAAAAGACGTTGTTCATGGGCTGCATCCAAATTGTTTTTGTACCTGCTTCCTTATGCTTCCTTTTACTCTATTTTCTCTTAAAGTAATTGCAAGTAAACCTAATGTCTGTGGATGTTACGACGTACAGTCTCACGAGACAAAATGTGCAGAAAAGACTTCCACTGTGCCTTTTGTGGTTGGCTTGGAGGTACCAGCTTATTAGTTTGTTCATAGAATATTGCCGTTTAGTGACTTTGTTTTGTGAATGCGAGATGGAAAGTGTGAGCAACACATACAGGAGCTACCCTCACACAGTTAAATCGTTCTTTCGGTCATTACCCAAAGCTCCTGCTCTGGCTCCTGCCCTAGGCTCCTGCTCTGGCTCCTGCTCTGGCTACGCCCCATTCACACCATACTCTAGCCACCACCACTGCAAGTGTCACTGCCGGGGTCAATGCGCCAAACAAATAAATCATTTTAATGTATTAATTGTGTCTTTGGTCTCTTCAGATTGATATTACCCAAAGCTCATGACCATAGGTGAGGGAGAGAACGAAGATTGACCGGTAATTTGAGAGCTTTGCCTTTCGGCTCAGCTCCCTCTTCACCACAACGGTCCGATACAGAGACCGCATCACTGCGCACGCTGCACCGATCCGCCTGTCAAGCTCACGCTCCATTCTTCCCTCACTCATGAACAAGACCCCGAGATACTTGAACTCCTCCACTTGAGGAAGGACCATCTCCACCCACCTGGAGAGGGCAAGGCACCTTTTTCCGGTCGAGCACCATGGCCTCGGATTTAGAGGTGCTGATTCTCATCCCAAAGTATGTCTACCCATAATATTACATTTTAATGGATGGATTAAAAAAGTGGGGGGGCGCGGGACGACTGAATGAACGAAAATAAAGTAGGCTAAATGACACTGCTGGCATAAGATGAAAAAGTTTGGGAATATATGTTATAACAATAAAATACTTTTTTTTATCTTTGAATGATATAGGTTTTAGAGGGAATATATTTTTGTTTTAATAATGTGACAACAATAATCTCTCTGTAAATTGGATACATAAAAGGTGGGGGATAAGACAGCACATGGCCAGGCAGAACAACCTCCTGGTGCTTCTCACACAATTAGAAGAATCAATTAGATTAAATGACTTCGGCCTTGGGCTGTCTGCTGTTGTGTCATAGGACAAACTTCAACTGGATCACTTACGGCAATCACTTTCACAGAATGCACAACAAACCAGCTGCCAGGTGTTGATGATGTGAACAGACTAGGAAGGCGGGTCCACACAAAAGAGCTGTTATACTCAGAGATGGAACCTTACCTTTAAATCTCATCTATAAAATCCTCTAATGCAGTGTCTCCCAAAGTGGGGTCCGCGGCCCCCTGGTGGGCCGCGAGGGTACTGCAGGGGGGCCTTGGGAGGTCATAAAAAAAATAAAAAAATAATATAATTATTTAATGTTAAATTTATAATGTTTTGTTTGTAATATTAAAATATTTGTGTTCATTATTTGACTTGAATAATCCACTGTAATAATTTTTGTATTACAATGTTTGTAGCAAAGGCTATTTCCCCAAAATAAAATAACCAGAAGAGCCTATTCTTAATGTTGTCTTCTTGGTTATTATTTTGGGGGGCCACGCAGACCCGTCAGATTTTTAAGGGGGCCTCGGTGTTACTGAGTTTGGGAATGGCTGCTCTAATGGACTTTTTAAGTTTTGTATTGTAGTTTTGTATACAATTTACTGAAGTTGAAAGCCTACTATTCCAAGGACTACCTTATATGTTTTGTTATGAATTGATAATTGAGAAGTAAAAAGAAAAACTACCTTGATTCTACACAATATTGTGAATACACAGCAAGTTGTTTTACACTATAACATGTGTAAAGTGAGTAATCTGTATTTATATAGCACAATTTACAGACCAAGGTCACCCAAAGCACTTCAGAATGTTTTTTTTCATTCCATTCTCCAACCACGCACAGTGAAGGAAGAAGCGAAACGCCCACAATCATCACCTTTCATTCACTCACTCATTGTATTCATAACTGACGCACATGTTTTTAATGGTAAGGGCAACCAGAGCGCCCAGAGGAAACCTTTGCAA